CAGATAGGGACCCTCTTCCACTCCAGGACAGTGGTGACTGAGGGTTTGACTGGGAAACAGCTGATCCAACTCATCTTCTTGGCCCAGATCCTCTTGAACACTTGATTCAAAACCTGGGAGGCTCTAGGCCTAGAAGGGACAGGTCCCCAGCTCTTCCAGGGGTGGCAGGTTTCCTTGAAAACAATCGATCGATCCTTCTCTGGCCTCAGCTGGAAATTTCTGAGATTTCCCTGACAATCCCAAGGAAAGTATGTACTAATGTATTGATGTACCTTTGCCCAGCAAAGAGGATGCATCCTGGGGGAAGTAGATTTAAAGGAAGAGTATTTTGACTGGATTTCTTCATCCCTTGGCAAGATAAAGCCAACCTTTTCCCCATGGGATGAGCATGCTAAACCCTGGGCTAGGCAGGAGGTGGGGGAGAGGAGAGCTGAGGACACTGCCCTGAGGCAATGCTTATAGTTTTTCTGTAAATTTGTCTCCACAGACTTAGTTCTATCATGTGCCAAGCCTGGAGGAGGGTGGTCTGAGGGTACCAAATTGTGGACAATATCACCTTTGGCTTCTAATGGGAGGCTCTGCTAGTGAAAGAAGAACTCAGGTAAGGCTAGTTAGTGGCAAATACAATGTAGACAGGACATTCACAGAAAATCCCCCACTAAAGGTTTTTTCCCCACTCCCCAATACAAAACTATTCATATTTTTTAAATGTGTAAATGTACATTCATCCATTTGCTCATTCAGGAAATACTGGGTTGTCAGAAAAGTCATGACGCATTTTTGCAACGAAAAACATAGAAAAAATATGCCATGACTTTTCCGACAACCCAATATTTATAGAGTGTTCCCCGAAACAATACTGAATATGTGCTGAATGTCATAATTCATGGGATTCTGGACTTCACCTTGTCTTTTAGGTTCTACTGGGCTTTAGCATGGCAGTCTCAGTCTCTGCATTTCCCTTTACATTCAGATTTCTAAAATCCCAAACGTTTTCTCTTTAGTACCTGCTTTTTCTATGTGAGTCTCACTGAACCAGTGATTGGCAAGTAGTGAGCTCCTTGACTGGAAATCAAGTCTCTCTACTTGTTTATCCAACTAGTAGAAGCCAATCTGTCTGTTCTGCTATCCTCCCTCCCTCCCTCCCTCTCTCTCTGTCTCTCTCTGTCTCTCTCTGTCTCTCTCTCTCTCACACACACACACACACACACACCCTCTGCAACTCAGAAGAGAGGGACTATTCCTTTGCAGGCAGATGGACTGATGCACAAAGAGATAAATTCACTCTGTTAGAGCAAGTCCAGCAAGGGAAGGACCCCAAGCCTTCCAGGTTCTGGTCTTTCTTACATTCAGGATCTCTCCTGGAGAGAGTTAAGAGGCAAGGCAGTGAAGCACTATGGGCTCTCCCTCCAAGACCCCCACCTTACCCATAAATCAGTTTCCAATCTAACCCCTCCCTGGGGGTTGGGTTACAAACCTCAGTAACCCCAGGGCGGCCTGCCTGGTAATTCCTATTATTCAGCTGTCAGCTGGTTTTTTAAAAACCTCCCTTCGCAGTGATCTAGTTACTGGAGTTTTAGAGCCCATTCCTTGTCTCAGAGAGAAATCCTATAGCCAGGTGAAACAATGGAGAGGGCTCCTGCCTGCTGTCTACAGGGAGCTGGGTTTTCTCTTCTGTTGAAAGTGCTCCCCTTAACTCTTTGTGTCCCGCCCAGCTTGTGGGGGAAGGTCTGCTTCCCTCTCAGGCCTGCATGCTGATGCCATTCAGAGCAACGTTGCCTTTCTCTGGGGACCCTCCTTCTAGAGCCAGCATCAGTCAGCAGAGGAAAAAGCAAATTGGGACGAGGAGTGGGAAGAGAAAGAGAGAAAGGAAATTCTCCAAAATAAAGGCTGCTGAGGCTGCAATGTGTGTTTGCTCGGAGCCCAGTCAAAAGCTCAGGGTTCGTCTGTTACTAGGGTGCTGTTGTTGGACAGGGGGCTCAGAGCCCAGATCTCCAGTCCAACAGGTCCTGACACTGCTGAGTCTGCCCTATGCTAGAAGGGAAGAAAGGGCACAGGGGGAGGGTCCTGCTTTGACAGTGATGAGAGGTGGGGAGTGAGGCTCCTGACCTCCCTGACCCCTTTATCCCTGACAGTCTTTTCTGGTCCCTCTGGCTCAGAAGGCTGGGCCCCTGCTGCTTGACCTTAGAGGCTGAGCGCACAGGAGGCCAAGCCACCAGGTGTCCTTTAGAACCAGCCTGAGGGAACAGCCTGGGAAAGCCTGGGAGAGAGGTCTTAGAAAAAATGTCACTAGAGGGTGTGACCCTCCCTCCATCTTGCAAACTGCCCAGACCCGCTAAGATGATCCCCATTGCTCCCAGCCCCATTTCCCTGCAATGGTGATTTTTAACCTTTTAGAGGATCACAGACCCCTTTAGGAAACTGTTGTAAGCTACAGAGCCACCCCTCCAAAAATGCATGAACCCACAAACACAATTTAGCCAGTTTCAAGGGTTCACAGACTCTAAAGCTGAGGGGACCCTGGTGAGTCTGGAGAATACATGGATCCCAGGTAAAAACCCTGTGTACCAGCTTCCTTGCCCCGTGGACCCCGATTCCACCTTACAGGGCTGTGATGAAGCAAGACAGAGCTTTAAGCAGCTTTGGTGGGTCAGGAGAATTAGGGTGACCCCTGCGCCCCCCACCCCAGGGCCTGTGTGGGGACAGGGGTGGGGCAGAGGACAGATTAAGAGCTAGTTTGTGCTTCAGTGCTACTTTCGATCCAAAGTAATTCCCATGGTCATCACTGGCTAGCCTGAGACACTGGCCCAGGAGGAAAGCTGGTGAGGATGGAAAGAAGGAGGTGAAGGAGATCTCTGCATGGTGAAGAGGGTTCCCCAGAACCCTGCACAGAGGCTGGGCTTGGTCTCCTCATCTCCCCACATGTGGCATGAGTGCTCCGTCACGCTGCCGCGTTCTGACAGTCCCTCCTGGCCAAGCCTCCTGGTAAAATAATGTGCCTCCTTTTGGCTCCAGCACCTTTTTCTGGATATCTGTCAACTCCTGGGGGGGTCTGGGATACTGGCCAACTCCGCCTCTGTCTTTTCCCCCTTTTCCCTCTTCTCCCTCCTTTGGGGATCGTGCTTTCTTACTCTAGCAACCATAGCCCTCAAAATGCCTGGCACGCTCTCTTTTACGTGCCCTTTGAGGGAGCTAGGGGAAAGCATGGGTAGAGAAAAGGTACGAGGTGACTTCAGGTTCCTCTGGGCTAAGGGTCCCAACTCCGCTTAAATCTGTCTGAGTTTACAACCCAGAGAGAGCGGCTTGGTGGTCAGAGGGTGGCCAGGCGCCACTACACCTACAGTCAGGCCCCCATCATTGATCACCTTGTCTGTTGCAGGAACTGGCTCCCTCTCACTGATTTCTGGCCTCTTCATTTGTCTTTCCTAAAATTCAGTCTTGGTCAAGTCACTCATAAAATCTTTCCTGGCTCCCCTTGGGGCCTTCAGAATAAAGTGCAGATTCCTCAGCCTGGCATTGTAGAGACACCTCTGTACTCTGACCTGCATCTACCTGTCCATGCTCACCCTTCCTAACTCCCAGAGTCCACCCAATAATCCTGTCCTCTAGCCTGCTCCCAGGACAGATTCTCCAGTTCAGCACTTTATTCTGCTGCCCCTAGCGTGGGCTGTTTTATCTGGCTTTTCTTATTGAAAAATTTCTCCATCCTTCAAGGACCAATGCAAAAGCCATCTCCCTGAAGCCTTCCCTAGTTTTTGCCTTCTGAATTTTTCTGCATGTCCCATCAGTCATTATCCCTGAAATTAACACATTTCATACTGCTTTCCATTATTTCCAAGCCTACCTCTCCAAGTAGATTGTAAGCTTCCTGAGAGCAGGTACCAAGTTTTTAGCACCTACCAGCCCCATATCCAGCATAATGTAGGTGCTCAATAAATATTTGTGAGTAGCCCAGAGATTCTCTTACTGATAGTATGTGATTTGCAGGGCACGTTTTTCTCCTGGCAGTCCCAGCACTATCTCTGGATGCTGCCATAAACAGGATGTGTGTCAACTGCCCAAGCAGCCCCTGTATTCTTGATCTCTTCTCTCCTCAGCCAGATGCTTTTTTTGTCCACGCCCAGTCAAGAAGAGGACAGAGGGTTCCTTTGGATGAGTTTGATCTGAATGTCACTAAGTAACAGCACAGATATACATACTCTCATGCTTCCTACAGATTTGAGACTGGAGTTTTCTCCAGACCCGCCCCACAAGCGGGAGGGTGCTTTGCTGCCATGCCGGGATCCACAGGGGTCCACACTTGCACCCACTGGACACCGCCTGTCGCATCTAAAAGCACCCCGTCTCCTCCTCCCCTCCCTTTCTGGACGCGCAGTATTTATTCAGCCTATCCCCGAGAAAGAGAAGACAAGTCACTTTGGCGCCTCCTTGCTCTCTCCTAATAGAGAACTGGGGGCCTCTTCCGTGCTTACCTAGCCTGCATTAGGAACCGAGTCTGCGAAAGCAACGGCGCACAAATTGCGTTTCTGGCGGGGGTCAGAATTTTGATCGGCCCCTTGCAAATGTTTCCAAGGGAAGGTTCGTAGATTCGTGACTGTCCCTGGCAGCCGCCCAGCCCGGGACTTGGGGCTCCACTCACCATTGGCCAGCCGTAGGCGTGACGCTCCGGAGGCGGGGCCTCATCAGCTGTTTGCGGGATGCCCCGAGCGGGCGTATTTTGGAAACAATACCGCGCGGTGCGGAGTGGCCTCCTCCCGCGCTCGCTCGCCCGCTGCTGCTGCGTCCCTTGCTCGCTCCTCCCGCCTCCCGCCTCTCGCCGCAGCCCGGTGAGCTCCCGGGCGGCCGGGAGCCGGGCGGAGTTGGATCGCACCTCCTCGGGGAAGTGGGGAGAGGAGTCGCGCTGCGCGTGGGGGCCCGGGAAGGGTTGGGCTGCGGGCGTGTGGGGTGACCATGAAGGACTGGGGCGCTGGGCTGCGGGAACGGGGTGCAGAACCCACATCTAGGTGCGCTGCTCCACGAGGCAACTTGGGGGTGGTAGCATTTGAGATTCCAAGGAGTTGGGTCCAGGTGGGCAGGGGAACCTGCGGTGCACTGCTGAGCCGACCTAGGCGCCCGAGATCGACCGGGCGTCTGGATCTTACTTTGAGGTAAAGCAGGGAGTCGTGGGGGCATCCTGCCTCCCTGCGGAGTTTGAAGGCTCCTCTCCTTAACAGCTGGGCTTTTTCCCTCCTTCCCAATTGAGTCTGGGCGCCAAGCCCCCGAGTGCTCGTCACGCTGGACCCTGGCGCGGAGCCCTGGCATCACGACTCGGAGGCAGAGACTCTCTCCTGGAGTCACCCAGGTCGGCTGTGTGTTGTGTGAGTGTGTATGTGAGTGTTTCCAGATTTTAGCCCCTGTCGAAGTTCAGAGTGTCTGGCTACTGCCTTCTCGGAGGAGGAGGAGGAGGAGGAGGAGTCTTAAGTTTAGCATCCCTGTTAGAGTCCTTAGGGGCTGGGATGGCTCCAGCGAACCTTAGTTCCCCTTGCTAGCAATAAAGCGTACCCTGGCAGTGCTCTCAGGAAGTGTCCCCCTCCTACCAGTTTGGACATCACCTCTTTTGCACAGGTCAGTTTACTCTTGACCTTGCCCAGCACCCCTCTGGAGGCACCCACCTGAAGTTCCTGTGGGAAAGGTCTCCCGCCCCCCATGGCAGAGCCACACCCTAGGGCAGCACCTCCCCCACCTTCTAGTCCAGGCAAGGGTTGAACTTTGGGGCTTTGCTGGGAGGAGGAGGGGGTAGGGGAGGTGACGGGCTTCAAAGGAAGAACCAAGACAATGACTCCTGCTTGTGATTGGCTTTGGAGGGCTCCTTCTTAGGTTGGGATTGCCAGCTTGCTGAGAGGAGGTTGAAGGGCTGGAGGGGAGCCCTTGCCAGTGACTGGCAGGACAGCCTTTCCTTTAAGCGGGAAACTTTGTTTCCTGGTGCTGATAAGCTGGAGTTCTCCCACCCCACCCCTCCTTTGGGAAACACTATTGAAAGAACACCAGGTGCCTGTTTTGCCATCCAAGTAGGCATCTCCTCAATCTCGAGTGAAGATAGGATCATAGATAGTTCCAGGAATGGATGGGATGGAGGGAGGGTTGAAACAAGCACCTCAGAGACAGTTTGCATTTAGCGAAGCCAGGATTTCTGAATTTAACAGATTTCTTTAAGTACTTTACCAACCCACAGCCCATTTGGCTTGTTCTTCAAAGGCAAGAGACTGGGAGACAGAATTCCCAGGGGATCTCTCTAATCGAATCTGGCAGTGACAAACATTGTTGCTCTGTATCCTTAACCCATTCAGGTGGTTGTTGCTTCTGGCTGCCCCAGGGGCCTTGAGGGGTTCCTAGTGTGTGTATAGGGGTATGAGTTGGGAATCTCAAGATACTGGATGGCTCCAAGCTCAGACTTCCAAGAGCCAACAGGTGGAGCAAGAAGAACTTCTTTATCACCAAGAAACTCATCAACAACCTGAGTAGTATAAGCAGTGAGTGAGGTCATGGAGAAAGGGCCAAATTTCACTTCCTTTCTGTGAGGCAGGTTGTACCAATTTCAGGTTCAGCGCTGGCAGGAATGGTAGGCTGGCTATGGGGGAAGATTTGAAGTCATGGAGACTAGCAAAGGGACTGAGCTGGGGGAGGCTGGCCACTTTGCTGGATGCTGGACCTACCCTCTAGGCCTAGCTGTGGTGGGTAGACAGCTCTACTTTTCTGATAGGGCAGCTGCAATGACTAACTTGGGTCTTTCTCCCTTCTCTTTCCCAGGACACTCTTACCACACCACGGAGCCTGTTTGTTGTGTTGAGCAAGCAGGGGGTGGAGACTAGCTTAGATGGGCAGCTGGGCGGGACTTAGCAGGTTTGGAGGGAACCTGGCTGCCCTAGGATTGCTGGCTGGCTTTTGTTTTTACTGCTGAGCCTGGAACTCAGCTCAGACTTGGTGGTTACTCCCCAGGGCAGTGAGAGAGAAAGAGAGAGTTAATTGTGAGTATTGTGTGTACAGCCAGTCACAGCACCCTTTTGCCCTCCCACAGCCACTCACAGAGGCTAGGCTTGTTCACATTTCCCCAGGTACCCTGTGTGCTTGTAGCAGCTGATCATACCTCAGCTGTTGCTCAGAGATAGTAGCAGTCAATCTTCATGACTGTGACCAGCTGGGTCAGAAGAAGAGGCCAAGGGGAGGGTAGCTCTCTGGGGGGGCCCAGGAAAGAGGTGTAGAGAGTCCCTGAACAGTGAGGCAGTCCACATTTGGGGGTGGATGTCACCCTTGGCAGTGCTTTTACTACCAGGGTTATCTATCACTAGTACCTGCCCCCACTTCCCCATATAAGAAGGGAGACCAGGGAAGCAGGAAGGGGAGGGGAGGGCGCCCACTTCAGGGTTGGCCTGGATGGGGGGCAGCATCCTGGATGCCTTATTACGCCCTAACAGGGGAGATGGAGCCGCCTCAGTGTGTGGAAGAGCTGGAGGATGATGTGTTTCAGCCAGAGGATGGGGACCTGGGGACCCAACCTGGGAGCTTGCCCTCTGCTGACCTGTTTGCTCAGAGCCAGCTGGACTGCCCCCTCAGCCGTCTGCAGCTCTTCCCTCTCACCCACTGTTGTGGCCCTGGACTTCGACCCACCAGCCAGGAAGACAAGGCCACCCAGACCCTCAGTCCAGCCTCCCCAAGCCAGGGTGTCATGCTGCCTTGTGGGGTGACTGAGGAACCCCAGCGACTCTTTTATGGTGAGTGCTCTTAGCCTCAAGACTCCTCCCATAGAGACTGGGGGAAAAGAGGGGACTTTCCCTCCCCAAACCTGCGCTTTGCTATTTCCTTCCCCATATTGAGCAGCAGGGGCTAGTGATTCCTCAGCTCTCACCTGCTACCTTTCTGCTTGTCATTGCTCCTTACCTGTGCTCCTCAGGCCCCAAGAAGGGCAAATGGCCTTGCCATTATTTCCATTCTTTTGCCCCTTTCTGGAAGGATCCTTGGTCCATGGTGTCTCCTCTGGGATTGGAGAGAGGGTACCTGGATCCTGTAGCCCATTGAGTGGCCCAGACTTTTGTGCCCTGGTGGTCATGTACCTCCCTACAGTGGCTAATGTTGCCTTGGAGAAGGTCGGGTCTGTGACTCGCTGTTGACACTGAAGGGAAAAACCCAGCCCGTTCTGGGAGGGAAGGTTCCTAAAGGCAGAAGGTGACCCCAATTGTCTCTTGGGACTTTCTGTGCTTGGAAGGGGAACTGGAGAAAGAGGTTGGGACTTCCTAGGCTCAATGCCAGCAGAGGGGCTGATTCTAAGGCTCAAACGGACAAGACCTCTTCATTAGTGGGCTTAAATGGTTTGTTTTATGAGCAATATACCATCCTCTGGTGAAAGGGCAGGGTTAGACACTCAGTCTGTTTTCTTCTTTTAGCATAATAGCTCATGGAGGGGGGGGAAAGGTTTAGAGGCTATCTTGCTAGATCTGACAGACAGATTAAGGAGACATGCAGTTATTACCAGAGGGAGCTGCCTCGTAGGGCAATTCTGGCATAACAGTTCTGGCGGGAGTCTGAGAAGATGGATAAGGCTGGCAGGCAGGACGAGGGAAAGGCGGGAGGACGTGGGTGGGCGCCCCTAGCGGCAGCTCAATTGCCAGCACTTTGTCTCACCTGGGGCTGCCTCCAGAGAGGAACTTGGCCATTCTGTGGGTCTGAGGAGTTTTCTGTCCTTGGTTTTTGTACCATTGCCCAGAGCTTCAAGCCCTCACACCAGCCTTCCTTTGCTGCACTAAAAAATGAAGACACTTTTTTGTTTTCTCTTTCTCTGCCCCTTGCTTTGCTCCACCTAGGACCTCTGGAGAGCTGCCTCCAGTGCTTTTCCAGAGAAGAGCTTTCAACCTGCTATTACATGAATAATAAATTGTGGTCAAGCATAGCTTGGTAAATAAGGACAGAAAGTTGGCACGTTCACCCACACACATTACCTTTGCCATGGCCCTGCCAATGAATGGAGAACTGAAGGGAAGGCTGGGACCGTTCCCTTCTGTTCTCCTAGCATCAACTTTTATATACTTGGGCAGCAGGCAAGTCAGGTTGTCCAGTTTTGGCAGAGTGCCCTGATAAAGGCCTCAGCCCCAGATCTCGGCCAGGAGTGTTGGGCATGGGAGGAAGGGGCAGTTGTGGAGAATGCTGAGATGTGGGCCCTCTGTCTTCGCAGGCAATGCTGGCTACCGGCTCCCTCTCCCTGCCAGTTTCCCTGCAGGCTTGCCCCTTGGTGAGCAGCCCCCTGAAGGGCAGTGGCAACATCGAGCTGAGATACAGATTGCCCGAAAGCTTCAGTGTATTGCAGACCAGTTCCATCGGCTTCATATGCAGCAAGTAGGCATGGGGCCTTGGGATGGGGGTGGAGGGGTTGAGTCTGCTGGGACTGCGGGGGCTGGGGCCTGCCTCAGCGGCTCTGTCTCTGCCAGTCCTCAAGAATAGGGTCCCAGAGTTTTGGCTGTGGCCATTGTGATTCCTGAGGACTGGATGGGCCCTCATCCCTGAGCTCCAAGTTGGTTATCTGCCCACTCTCAGCTCAGGCTCCGTAACAGTGGTTTGTTGGGAGATGCTACGATCCCTCCCTCCTGGGGAATGGAATGGCTTTTTGCAGCCTTGCTTGACAAACTGTGTCTTCTTCAGGCCAGGATTGGGAGATTGTCCCTCACAGGCGAAAGGGGAAGATTTTCAGGGTGCAGCAGTGAAACTGGACAGTTGGGTGCAGTGGGAACTGAATAACCAAGGCAGAGGGATGGGCCTGAGTGGGGGAAAGTGGTGGAACCGGTTGTAACCTGACACTTTCCAGCTGGGGAGGCCGCTCCTCATTGTCTCTGTCTGGGAACTGGGGCCTGGGACTCTGGAGAGTGTACCTCAGAGAGTCTTCCCAGACCGGGCGGCCGGGCGCTTGGCCTGGTGCTTGGCCGGCAGCCTGGCACCATCCCCGCCAGGGTGGGGCATCGCGTGTCAGCAGAGCATGTGGCAGAGTCCATCAACAAAGGCGGCGGCTGGCAGGCTCGTGCTGGAGGAGCCCTCTGTGCCACGGGCTGGAGGCTGCCCTGCTCTGCAGCCCTGTCTGGGCGGCCCCCAGGCACTTAACCCTTCCTCTCTGGGCTGGCTTTCTGGACAGCTGCCAAGGCAGGGAGAGAAGCCTGAGGCTGATCTGTGCTACAACCACCGCCGAAGCAGAGGCATGCCACCTGGAAAAGAAGGCATTCCCTGCCTCTGGGACAGTGTCCCTGGCCCAGAAAGATCTGTGTGTGTTTGTGTGTCTGGAACGTAAGAGAATAAAAAGCACCACGAACAGGCAGACCCTGAGGTTAGATAGGTCACTTCAGGTAACCAGAGGAGAGTCATTGGTAGTAGTAGGTTTGACTTAAGGGTCAAACCATTGCCAGCACCAGGGGGAAGAGAGATTGACTTTGGGTCCCTGAGAACAGGCCATCAGGGGTTAGATATGGTTAATGCCTTCTGCCAAGGAGTTCTGAAGGAAATGTGGGGCTAGAACTGGTCCTGGTAGGTTCTCCCAGTACCTTACTGATCAGTAAGGGAGGGTGGCCCTGTGCTTAGATAATAAGGCGGCCTGGGCCTCTCTTCTGGCCCCGAGCTCCAGTCTCTAGTCTCTCCTTTGATTGTTCTGTGGAAACTTGGCTTAGCGTTTCCCCTTCGGTCCATGTGTGAACTCACTCTGATTCTTGATTTCTTTCTCTTGGCCTCCTTCCTGCCCATTCACTTTACCCGGCTTGTGCAGGCCTATGGCAGAGTCCGGCTCACAGCTTCCAGTCCTGGTGCTGGAGCTGATGGAGGACACTGGCTGTCGGTCTCCTAGACTCATCTAGAGGTCTTCCTGGAAGGCAGCTTTCTTCATTCCCAACAGCCCTGGTCTCTCTCAACAGGTGTTTACCAGACTAGTCCCCATCCATTGGTAAGCCCTACAGGTTTGGGAACAGGCTGGGAGGACAGGTCTAGACCATAGCCCAGGGCCCTTTCTTCCTGACTCAGTTCTGAACAGGACAAGGCGGCCTTTATCCCAAGGTCTGACCCTGCTCTTTGCTGCTTGGCCTCGTTTCTCCCAGTCCAGGGCTGCCTCTTTGAGGGCTCACGGTTCAGGTGGTTCAGCTCTAGACCGGGGTGCTGTCCTCTCAGCCAGAGCCTTCCTGGCTGGGGAGGAGGAGGGACAGAGCCAGAGGAGAACTAACTGTAGGAGAGTCTTTCCTGCTCTGCATCTCACCTCATACTGGCTCCTGAGTTCCCTGTACCCCTTATCCACCTGCCAGCTACCGACTTCTTCTATTTTGCAGTGGCAGGAGGCTGGCCCATTGGAGCCTTTCTAGCCCAGAGCTGGTTTTCCCAAATTTTCCATTACAAAGACCAGACTTTTTGTCTGTGGAGTCCTCTCGCTTTTAACCCCGTCGTCCCTACCAATGCTGCTCACAGACCGGCATCAGCAGTTCATCCTGCGGGAAGGGCTAGAATAATAGCCACAGGCAGGTGGAGCACTGGCACACACAGGACCTTTTAGCAGCTAGTCTTAAGAAGTGAGTCATTTTCCGAACTTGATTATTACCTAAACCACAGCCTAATATTTCCTATCTAGAACGTACTATTGGCACGCCTACATTATTATCCTTTTATCTTCTTTCCCTATTCCCTTACCTCATCTTGGCAGACAGGGAAACTGAGGCACTAGGAAGGAAGTGATTTTTGGATTAAGTCTAGGCTTGGAGTATAAATGCAGAAGGCCCAGGTTTAAATACTGGTTTTGCTACCTACTAGTCATCGGGAAGTCACTTGACCTTGCCAAGCATATTTCCGCTTCTGTAAATTTGAGCTAATACCAAAGAATTTTACTGTGAAGATTAAGTGAGAAAATACCTATGAAAATTCCAGGCAAACAGTAGGTATTCTTTAATGCTTGTTTCCTTCTCTCTATATATGATCCTGACCAGCTCTCACATTTCCCAGCCCACCTGCCCTGCTGATCCCTGAGCTCCTCGCCACCTGCCCTGGCCAGAGAAATTGGTGTCCAAGTTGTTTGGCTGTGGGCCTTGGGTTTGTACATTCTCCTCAGAGAATGATGGTCATTCCCCATCAGTGTGGGCTGAGTTTAAAGAGCCACGAAAGACAACCCAAGAGGCAGTAAGAAGTTGAGGGAGCCTGGCCATCCCCTTTCTCCTCAGACCTGGGATGGTGTCCTAGGGCCAGACAGTAGCCATTGGTCCCTGAGTCCTAGAGGGAGTATGAGCTCTGCCTTACGAGCGCATAGCATTATGGCAAATTGAGTGCATCAACATGACGCCATATTGAAAAGGTTGCAACTTCTCTGGGTGTCAGTTTATGTTGGCCATAAGCCCTCCCAACGTATTTCCCAAGGAGCATTTAGGGTGGAGGTCTAGCCTCCAGTGGAGCCTTTCTAGCCCAGAGCTAGCCCAGTACAGGGCAGCTCCTCTGGACCAACTGGCATGGAACTGGAGGCAGAAGATCAGTGTCAACACAGTGCTAGCTGTCGGCTCTTTGAGTCTCCAAAGCAGCAAGAGAGTTGGAGGCAGAGTGAAAGCCTTTCCAAACCTGGTCACACACCCTGCTTTTTCTTGTCTGGGTCTTGGGTAGAAGGTTCCCCATTTTGCTCTTCTGTGAGCTGACTGGCTGCAGCAGGTGACCTCTCGTGGTCTGCTGACCATGGCCTACCTTGACTCGGGCTCTGTGGGGGTACCCTGCAGGGAAGAGGAGGTACAGATTTGCTTCCTCACCGAGCTCATGGCTGCTCTGGTCAGAAGGGGTGAGTCCCAGCTACTTTCCATTCCCCCTCCCATGGTTTCCTCCGGCATGAGCCTAAGAATGGACAGTAGCTGGTGTCCCTTCCACTTCAAAAAATCTCATGTCCTAATAGCACCATCTTGAAATTTGTGGGGCTATTTCTGGGCAATGTTAAGAAGCCAAGAATCGTCAAAAAAAAAAAAAAAAAGTAGCTACTGTAGACCGTTGAGTGAGTAAAGCTATAGGAGGGTTTTTCATGTTGGAAATGGCTTTTTCACTTGGACCAGGAATGGTTTCATTCAGAACAGTCAGATTTGGAAATTCCCTAAATAGTAATTAGACTTTCTGGAAAATGAAATCTGAGAAAAATTTCAGCCACTCACTTGAAACCATCTTTAGTTGCAATATCACAGAAAGGATCCTGGACTTAGAGACACATCCGGGTTCAAATCCCAGCCCTGTCACTTATGAGTACTGTGTTCATAGGCAAATAATTTATCTTCTCCACGCCTCAATTTCTAATGCTTACCTTGCAGAACTGATGTGAAAGCCCTTTGTAAGTTGTAAGACATATAACTATTAAGGTATGGACAGTTTAACACTTTTGGAAATGTGTTAAAAGATGATTTTAGGATTTCGCTTGGACTTGCTGTTGTAGTTCTTGGGGGGCTCTTTTGGAAGTTGTACCCAAGGTGGTGTTCGCATGGTTTATTAATTCGCAGCTTCTCTGCCAACAGCCTGGATCGTTTGTTCAAGGAGCCTCTGGCTGCTTCCTGACCCTTTGGGATGCTCTTCTCATTGGCAAGTGGTTTTCTGGAGCTCAGACTGTGGCTAGTGAGGTTGTTCAGGCTCTAGATGGGGCAGTCCTGGGCAGGAGCCCCAGAGATTCGACCTAAAGTGAGAAGGGTCCCAACAGAGCCAGTCTTTGTCCCAGGAGTGGGAGGTCCACCTAGGACAGTGCCTGGGAAGAGTGAGGCTGGGGGAGGGGCTGTGGAAAGCTGCTGTGCGTGAGAGCCAGTGCTGGGGCTTGGGGGCCCTGTGTTTGCTCTGTGGCTGGCTCTGTTTATATCGCTGGCTATATTTAGCTTCTGAGTCATCAGCGTGGCTGACTAGAGGCGGAGTTCCCCACACAACTCTGCACCTGACTACTCTGTCTTCCAGGAGAAGGTCCTTGTAGTGCCGGACAGTTCATTCCCTCCCTACCAAGGCAAGCCATAGGGATGGGAATTGGCTTTTTTTTTTTTCTCGAGGGAGGGGGTGAAGAGGGAGGGGTTTGGAGGAGGCACTGAAAAAGAAGGATAAAGACAAATGTCTGACTTTCCTTTTGATCCACGTCTGGCAACCAAGAAGGCATATTCCATGACCAGAATGAGAACAGTCCGTGTGTATGGTGAGGAGGAGGGTCTGGCCATCTTCCATGCTCAGCTTGCCTTGTCCTGTCCAGGGAACTGGCCCCAGGTGGGACAAGAACAGCTAGCTGCCAAGGGTCCCAGGTCTGGAGTCAGAGCCTTGGGGTTCCTTCTCCACAGCCTTATAGACCCACATCAGACCAGCCCCCTCCTCGATCCCATCTCTCCCTGGCCTTT